ACCCCGAGCCCCTCCGGGCACCGGGCGGGACAGAACAGCGGCGGGGGGACGAGTGCCCGGTGCGCCCCCATCCCGAGCCCCTCCGGGCACCGGGCGGACAGAACGGCAGCGGAGGACGGGCGGCCGGTGCTCCCCCGTCCCCCGAGCACCGGGTGGCACCGGGCGGGACAGAACGGCGGTGGGGGACGAGCAGCCGGTACTCTCCCCCCCGAGCCCCTCCGGGCACCGGGCGGGACAGAACGGCGGCGGGGGAACGAGCGGCGGATGCCCCCCCTCCCCCGAGCACCGGATGGCACCGGGCGGACAGAACGGCGGGGGGATGAACGGCCGGTGCCCCCCAACCCCGAGCCCCTCCGGGCACCGGGCGGGACAGAAAAGCGGCGGGGGGACGAGCGGTCAGTGCCCCCCTTCCCCCGAGCACCGGGTGGCATCCCGCGGGGGGTGCGAGGCCGGAGCCGCCGGGCAAGGAAGGCGGAGGCTGAGGGGACGTTCTCAACCCCCTCCCGGCAGCGTCGGGGGCGGGCTCGACCGGGAATAACGGGAACGACGGGGATGGGAACGGGAGCGGGGGCTGGACCGGAGCTCTGCGCCTGCGCACAACGGGGGCGCTGAGGCCACGCCTCCCCATCCAGGCCACGCCCCCTCCGCGTCCCCGGGCGGGCTGAGGGCGGGGCCCCGCCCTCAGCCCGCCCGGGGACGCGGAGGGGGCGTGGCCTGGATGGGGAGGCGTGGCCTCAGCGCCCCCGTTGTGCGCAGGCGCAGAGCTCCGGTCCAGCCCCCGCTCCCGTTCCCATCCCTGTCGTTCCCGTTATTCCCGGTCGAGCCCGCCCCCGACGCTGCCGGGAGGGGGTTGAGAACGTCCCCTCAGCCTCCGCCTTCCTTGCCCGGCGGCTCCGGCCTCGCACCCCCCGCGGGATGCCACCCGGTGCTCGGGGGAAGGGGGGCACTGACCGCTCGTCCCCCCGCCGCTTTTCTGTCCCGCCCGGTGCCCGGAGGGGCTCGGGGTGGGGGCGCACCGGGCGCTCGTTCCCCCGTCCCCGTTCTGTCCCGCCCGGTGCCACCCGGTGCTCGGGGGACGGGGGAGCACCGGCCGCCCGTCCTCCGCTGCCGTTCTGTGCCGCCCGGTGCCCGGAGGGACTCGGGGTGAGGGAACACCGGCCGCTCGTCCCCCCGTCCCCGTTCTGTCCTGCCCGGTGCCACCCGGTGCTCGGGGGAAGGGGGGCATCCGCCGCTCGTCCCCCCGCCGCCGTTCCGTCACTCCCGGGTTGTGCGCAGGCGCAGAGCTCCGGTCCAGCCCCCGCTCCCGTTCCCATCCCTGTCGTTCCCGTTATTCCCGGTCGAGCCCGCCCCCGACGCTGCCGGGAGGGGGTTGAGAACGTCCCCTCAGCCTCCGCCTTCCTTGCCCGGCGGCTCCGGCCTCGCACCCCCCGCGGGATGCCACCCGGTGCTCGGGGGAAGGGGGGCACTGACCGCTCGTCCCCCCGCCGCTTTTCTGTCCCGCCCGGTGCCCGGAGGGGCTCGGGGTTGGGGGGCACCGGCCGTTCATCCCCCCGCCGTTCTGTCCGCCCGGTGCCATCCGGTGCTCGGGGGAGGGGGGGCATCCGCCGCTCGTTCCCCCGCCGCCGTTCTGTCCCGCCCGGTGCCCGGAGGGGCTCGGGGTTGGGGGGCACCGGCCGTTCCTCCCCTTCATCCCCCCGCCGCCGTTCTGTCCCGCCCGGTGCCCGGAGGGACTCGGGGTGAGGGAACACCGGCCGCTCGTCCCCCCGTCCCCGTTCTGTCCTGCCCGGTGCCACCCGGTGCTCGGGGGAAGGGGGGCATCCGCCGCTCGTCCCCCCGCCGCCGTTCCGTCACTCCCGGTGCCCGAAAGGGCTCGGGGCGGGGGCACCGGCCGTTCCTCCCCTTCATCCCCCCGCCGCCGTTCTGTCCCGCCCGGTGCCCGGAGGGGCTCGGGGTGGGGGCGCACCGGGCGCTCGTTCCCCCGTCCCCGTTCTGTCCCGCCCGGTGCCACCCGGTGCTCGGGGGACGGGGGAGCACCGGCCGCCCGTCCTCCGCTGCCGTTCTGTCCGCCCGGTGCCCGGAGGGGCTCGGGGTGGGGGCGCACCGGGCGCTCGTTCCCCCGTCCCCGTTCTGTCCCGCCCGGTGCCACCCGGTGCTCGGGGGACGGGGGAGCACCGGCCGCCCGTCCTCCGCTGCCGTTCTGTCCGCCCGGTGCCCGGAGGGGCTCGGGATGGGGGCGCACCGGGCACTCGTCCCCCCGCCGCTGTTCTGTCCCGCCCGGTGCCCGGAGGGGCTCGGGGTTGGGGGGCACCGGCCGTCCATCCCCCCGCCCTTCTATCCCGCCCGGTGCCACCCGGTGCTCGGGGAGAGGGGGAGCACTGACCGCTCGTCCCCCATCACCGTTCCGTCCCGCCCGGTCACCGCCGGTGCAGAGACCCCACCTCCCACCCCTCCCGACCCTATCGCCCGGGGCCGGTGTGAGCCCGGTTTCTGGCGAGGAGAGAGAGAAATGAGAGCACAGGGAGCACAGAGGCGGTGGAAAACAAGTGGCGATATTGACTCACAGACAGACTACCAGCGACAGCAGCATCGGCACAGAGGGTATAACCATACAGAAAAGCGACCGGGAGTCGTATATGGGATTGATTAGAGGTTGGGGTTTTGGTTTGGTTGTTGTTGTTGTTGTTTGTTTGTTTGTTTTTTTCTTTCTTTTTAATTTTTTTCTCTTTTAATACGTTGAAATTGCCCAGACTGGTCCAGTACGACATCTTAAACCTCCACAGCATGAAAACCTTCCCCCACACCCCCACCCCAAACCCCCGGAGCAGGGCTGTGGGGCTGATTCCCAGCATGATCCCTTCACTCCCAGCATGATCCCTTCACTCCCAGAGCTGCGGGATGGGGGTGGCGGGCACACCGGTGCCACCCGCCTTCCGTGGGCACCGGCCAGCGCCGCTGCGACGTGGGAATGGCTCAGAGAAAGCGGGGCCCGAGGTGTGTGGGAGGGTTCCCTGGAGGGGACGGGTTTTCCTGGGCACTGGCCTCCATCCCTGCTGCCGCAGAGCAGGGAGTGGGACCGGCTGCGATGCCCAAGGCCACAGCACAGCCCAGAAAACGGCTGCCCGAGGGGATGGTAAACACCCAGGGCTCCTCGGGACCCACTCCTGCCTCGGGTGCCCTGCTGGGGGGGTGGGGGGGACCCACTGTTGAGCCCTGCTGCCTGCCAAGGCCGGTGGGGCTGAGCCCATGGCGATGGTGGCAGAAGGGTCTGGCAGCAGCTTCCCACCCGTGCAGGAGGTCACAGTGGGGATGGACCCCCCCACTACGATGCTGGAGAAGGCAGTGAACCCCCCCGCTCACCTCTGTGTCCCCATGGGGCAAGGAGCACGTGGAAAGAGGGGCAGCAGCGCCCAGCTGCATGCAGGGGGGCAGGAGGGGTGACCCCCAGCCACATGTGCCCCCTCCAGCTTTTGGGACAAGGCACCTGCACAGGAGCCATCCAGCCCCCTCGCACACAATCGGGGGGCTCTGCCACACGGTAAAGCCCCCCCAGAGCCCCTTCCTGGCACGCTGTGCCCCTCCTGCACCCCAAAGGGACGGACAAGCAGTGGGTGGGGAGGGGCATAGGGGGGTCCCCGGTGCTGGGGGGGTGGCTGGGGTGGGGAGGGCAGTGTGGCAGGAGCTGCTGGGGCGGTTGCCCCGCGGCAGGGGCACTGGTAGACCTGCTACGCAGACGGGGCAGCTCCCACCACTCACCAGGGGTCGGTTCCTTCACAGCTGCCAGGGTGCCAGGGCTGAGCGTGGCCAGGCAGGGACATGGCCCTGGAGGGGAGGGGGGTCCCCCACACCCCGCTCAGCCCTGCCACGGGCTGCCAGGTGCCTGTGGCAGAGGGGGTCCCCACCCCTGCCCCCCGCATGCACGTGGCAGGCGCCGCAGCCCGGGGACCCCCGCAGCCGAGCGGATTTTCATGCTGTCTCCAGGAATTGATATCAGTGTGGACCAGTTTTTTTTTTTTTGTTTTGTTTTTTTGTTTTTTTCCTACTGGCTACTGGAATGCGCTCGTTTGGCTTTAGGGGTCCTCGATGTCGAGAAACTCTTGCTTGGGGGGGGCCATGCCGCGGTACCAGGCGCACGAGCCGTCGCTCCTCTTGATGCAAGCGTAGTGCTTCGCCTGCCGCCCGTCCACGTTGTTCTTCTCCATCGCCCAGTCCGTCCAGAGACACTCGTCCGAGGAGGAGACGAAGCAGGGGATGGAGAGGCAGCGCGAGATCTGCACACATGAGACACTGGTCACCCACCACCCCAGGGAGGGGACGCTGGGGCTGGGGGAAGTAGGACCGGGGGGCTGGTGGTCCAGCTCTGGACCAGGGATGCCAGGCTGCCCCATCCCCGTGGGGTACAGCAGGGATGTGACCCCAATGTGGAGGGCTGAGGGAACCCCTGGGTGAAGGTCCTAGGGTCCCAGATGGAGGGACCCACTCTGCCCCATATCCCTGGCCACGTGCTGTGCCCCCTGCACAGTGTCATCCCTGAAGGATGGGGAAGAGCATCCCACCATGAAGCCCACACTGGTCTTGGGGCTGCACACCCCACCCCCCGGCGGTGCAGGAGCTGGGAGCAGCCCCGTGCTCACCTTGCACTCGCAGCCCATCTGGTACCGCTGGTTTAGGCTCTTCTTCTGGGTCGGGCTCAGCGAGTCCCAGGTGGAGACCAGGTCACAGAGCGTGATGTGCATCTTCCCGTTGCCCTCTGACTTGCCTGGGGAGAGGAGGACACACCAACCGCTCAGAGGGACCCCCAGGTGCCCGGGGACCCAGCCTTGACTTGGGGTGCTGGAGGGTCAGCCCAGCCTGGGTGTCCATCCCTGGTGTTCTCTGACCCCAGTGAACCCCAGGGAGTGGCGGCTCGACCCCCAGCTGCCCCTGCAGCCCCCCAGCCAGGGGCTGCCGAGCACGGCCAGGACACAGGAGGGGTCCAACAAGGGCTGGTGGGGTGCTGTGCCCGGGGAATGGGCACCCACGTCACAGGCATCTCAGAAGTCACATCTCAGGGCCAGCCCTGCCACCAAAGACCTCCAAAAGCCCTCCCTTGTGGCCACCCACCTGCGATGAGATACTCCTTCTTCCCGCCGGTGTCCAGCAGCCGGCCGCACACGGCAGTGGACGGAGCCGTGTAGATGAACTCTATGTCCTTGTCGGGGCCCTTAAACATCTGGGAAGGAGGAGCAGGAGTGAGCGGCCATCGCAGAGGCTGCCCTGTCCCCTCCCTCCCCATCTCCTGCCCCCGTGTGCCCCATTACCTTGATCTGCTTGATTTCATACTGGATTCGTTTGATCGGATTCCCGTATATATCGTTCCCCGAATCCACCTCTTTCGCAGAGACGGCTTTCGCTCGGATCACTGCAACGGAGAGACAGCGGGGTCAGCGGGGGTGGCCAGGGACCAGAGGTGCTGCCTGGGCAGGATGGTCCTGCTCAGTTCCCCCATCCCTGGGGGGCTCCCACCCCTCGTGCAGGGCTGGCTCCCCGAAGAGAAGCCCCCACCCTCCTTGCAGATGCTCGCCTGCCCACGGAGCTGGATGTCCCAGGCTGTCCCCAAAGGGACAGGGCTTTGGTACACGTGAGATGGTGACGGGGAGTGTTGCAGCAGCACCTCCATGGTCGGTGATAAGGAAAAGTCACCCCAGGATTGCCCAGCCCCACCGCCAGAAGCCATGGCAGACGGGTCACCCTTGGCCAGCGCTGGCTCGGTCCCTGCCCAGCCCCTGCTGGGCTCGTGGGCACAGCCTGGCCCTGCCCGGGCTTGTGCCTGTCACCCAGATGGCCCTGGGACAGCTAAAACCCGCCAGCAGCGCCCTGGGAGCACCGCGGTATTTGCCCACTGTCATTAATTAAGCCAGTCTCTGACGAGGGCTCGGGCCAAGCGCCTGCGTGGCTTGGCAGGGCTGGAGGAGAAAAGGGCAGAGGGAGCTATTTGGGGGTCACCTTTGGGTGCAGAGGGAGGCAGGAGCCGTGTCCCCATGGCACCACCCCAGTCGCTCGCTGTGGGCAGCGTGGGCACCAGTGCTGCCCACCGAGTGCCCACAGGGGCAGCTCATACCGGGGTCCTCAGCATCCCTCCCAGAGGGGCTAGGAAGCCCACCAGCCCCTAGCCCCTCGCCAGAATGGGGGTCCTGGGACCAGGCTGCATTCGCCCTCCACAGACAGAGCGTGGGGTCCCTTCTGTTGTCTCCCTGCCAGACCCTCGTGCCGGCGCCTGGAGCCTCACGCTCTGCAGGCGCAGAAACCGCATCCTCCGGGGGCCACGGGGCGTCGCTTCCTGCGGAAATAACCCGGGGACGCCCAGGGCCGGGGCAGCGGAAAAACACTGAGGGCAGGCAGCGAGGTCCCCAGCCGGCAGCCCCACCAAAGGCAAGAGCTCCCCCGTGGCTCTGCACAGCCCCGGGGCTGTCCCAGCGTGGGCTACCGGGGGACAAGCTCGGGTGCCCCAGGGCCAGCGATGCCGCAGTGCCCCGGAGCGTGGGGACAGCTCTGCCATGAAGGGTCCCTGCGGTCACAGCTCTGCCATGAAGGGTCCCTGCGGTCACGCTGCCAGCGCGTCCCGGGGACACACAGACCGGCATGTGAGCATTCGGCACGTGGCAGCGACCCGCGGGGCGGGCAGCCAGCTCGCCCTCGCTCACCGGCTCAGGGCACGGCGGCCACTTCGGTGCAGGTCGCGGTGGCCGCAGCCGCTCAGGTGTGCGAGGGCTGGGTCCCTGCGCCCAGACCCACAGCTCCCTCCGACAGCATGGGGATGGGAGCTCCCGGCCAGCCCTGGGGACAGTGGCAGCCCCAAAGCTGCAGCTCCTGCTCAGCACCCTCACAGCCGGGGTGCAGGGGCTCGCAGGGCTCCCCATCCCTTGGGGGCACCCCGGGCCCTATCAGCCCCACTGCACGCTGTGGGGTAGGGAATGGGGAGTTGCGCTTTGCCCAGGGGGGCAGGAGGGCAAGTGCCAGCCAAGCTGGGGACACAGCTTGTGTCCCCCCACCAAAAAGTGCTGGGGTGGGAGCAGCCAGGGGCTGCCCACCAGCCTGGCACAGACAGACTTGCCTTCTTTCCCCTGGCACGGCGAGGAGAGGGAATCTGACCCCGCTCTATAAATACCACGGGGGCATGCAGATGGGTTATTTAAACTGAAGGTCAGGGGGGCACTGCCCCTCGTGGGTACCAGTAAAGTGCCAACTGAGTTTATTTTGGAGAGTGACCACCAGCATGAGCAGGGCTTGGGGAACAGACTCCCCAAAACAGCTGCCCTCGGTCAACATGGGTGCTCAATCGGTGCAGAGCAGGCAGATGCAACGCCTGCCAGTACCAGGGCTGCACCCAGGGCTTTCCTGGCTACATTCCCTCTCCCAGGGAAGGGCCAGGCTGCCCGGGCACACCGGGAAGCCCCAGGTCCCTTCCCAGCAGAAGGGTGAGCCCCTCGGCACAGCCCCTCTCCCTGGGCTGGGGGAGCTCGGGGTGGTGAGTGTCACCCTCCATCCCAGCAGCACAGGGCCTGGGTCACCGCAGGCACGGGCCACCCCTTCCCCCCCCGCAAGACCCCGCATCCTCCCGCACCCGGCTGCGGCGTAACTCGGGTGCATCCCGCTCCGGAGAGCCACGCTCCGACGCCGGCCCCGCGGCTGCAGGCGCAGGGAACGGTTCCTGGTTCAGTGGGCTCCAGCCTTTTCCATTCACGTGCTGATGAATCACTTGACAAAAATGCAGCCCAATTCTAGGCGGATTTGTTCTGAACAGTGCGGCTTTGTGGAGGGGACGGCTGCGCTGCGCTTTCCCCGCCAAGACCCCAGCGGTGCAGCCAAGCTCCTCCGCGCCAGCCAGGAGCCGGGGCGGCGAGGAGGGCGAGCTGCAGGCACCGCCGAGGGAGCCCCGGAGGAGAGCCCTGGCCCGGGATCCCCGGGATGAGGAATCAGGGCTGAGGGATGGAGGAAACCCCTCGACCGGCAGCCAGACCTCCCCAAATACCAATGCCCTACCCATCAGCTGTGTCACCCACCAACCCTGCCACCAGCTGCAGGAGCCCCGACCCTCCGTGATGCTCTTGGCGCCCAGCAGGCACAGCATGCCATGGGCACCGGAGAACCGAGTCCGACCAGGGCAACGCTGGAAACGGCCCCTTCCCAGCCAGGATAAGCTGCAGCAAGATGATGTTCCATGGGGCAACCCCGTCCTGGCAAGGTGGGACCCCCACCGGTGACAACCCCCAACACTGCAAGTGTGGGCACCCCAAAATGAGGATCTTGGACCCCTCTGGGAGCAGACCCCTGTGAGGCAGCGGGTCCCCTCGCTGCCCTCTGCCACCACGGTCGGTCCCACCACCCCAGCAGGGCAGGGGTTCACCACCATGCCAGGGCTGCTGGCTGGTGATTCCCTGCCTCTGCACCATAAGAAATGCCAGTGTCTGCCTTTAACTCCATAGAGAAGCTGCTGGATGAGCAGGGTCACAGACGGACGGGGCCACGGGGAGCTGGTGACTTCCCACCCTGACCAGCTTGGGGCTGCCTGGGGCCAAGGAGTCCAGGGCATCCCACAGAAGAGTGGTCCTCACACCATGGTGGGCAGTGGTGCCACCAGGAAGGGCCCCACACTGAGTCCCAGCTGACCCTGCACCGCTCCCCCCAACTGGGCAATGAGCACACGACCAACTGGGACAGACTGGGGCTGCAGCGCAGCTCCAGGAGCAAAGCTGGGGGCAAACAGAATCACCCCAGCGCCACAAATCCACAGGGACATCTCTCTGGGCTCACCAGCCAGAGGGATGCTGTGCTCCCCAGTCCCTACTGGTGTAGCTGCCCCAGCTCGGGGGGGCTGCACCCCGTGTTTCTGGCTGCTGAGCAGGGGGTTCCTGCTGTGGAGAGTTGCGGGGATGCTGCAAAACCCTGTGGGGAGATGGGGCAGCCCCAGGTTCTCTCCGGGGAAGGTGGAAAGGGGGTTTGGAAGTAGTGACCTGCCCTGGTGAGACCCGCCGAGAGGGGATGCTCCGTGGGTGCTGCCTGGTGGCCAGGGTGAATCCTGCCATCGCCCACCCCAGCTCAGGGGAAGCTGCTGGAAGCTCCTGCCCATGTGTGCCCCACGGCAGAGGGGAAGCACAAGGAGCCTCAGCCCCCCTTCGACACCCCTCCTGGCCAGAGATGTGCCAAATATCCACCCCTTCCTCTGCCATCCCACCCCAGTCCCCACCGCCTGGCCCCGCCAGCACCCACCGGGGGAGCGCCGGTGCCCGCAGACCACGGGGGCCGCAGCCGGGCTGAGCGTCCGGGGAACAAAGCTCCCTTCTCCGGGGCTGCTGGCAGCCGGCGGAGCCGAGGGGACGCCTGCCAGTGCCAGCACTGCCCGCCCAGCACCACCACCCTGTCCCCGCGGTGGGGGCAGCCCTGGGGGTCACTCCAGCCCCGCTCGGGGCCGGCAGAGATGGCGAGTTGGCAAATGCCCCCCGGGAGGGACTCAGCCCCAGCCCTGCCTGGCACACAGGCAGCAACCAGCCCCCCCAACAGCCATGGGGGGCAGCGGAGTGGGGCACCCCCATCCAAGCGCAGCCACAGGGTGGTTTTTGGGGGGGATGTGGAGACTGGAGGGATGCGGAGCTGAGCACGGCAGCGCTGTGGGGAGAACAGGTGGAGGTGGCGGGGGCTCCCTGGTGCCTGGCCGCGGCGGGAGGCAGCACCGGGGCACCAGGCCCCGCTCGCCCGCCCGCCGGCCTGCGCGGGAGCCACGGGTTGCGCGCTGCCATGGCCGCCCTGCGTCATCCCGGCCCTCTGACGGGAGCGGGATGGGGCCCAATCAGCGGCGGCCCCCGCAGTCAGCCCACGGCCCCTCCGCGCCAGCCCCACGGGAAGGGCTGCCGCCACCGGAGCTCGGCAGGGCAGCACCGAGGACCGGCAGGGCCCCCCAGCAGCCGTGCCCCCCCCTCTCCCCAAACCCTCTCCTCCGCCTGGTCCCCGCTGGCAGCCCCCGCCATCCCTCCCCTGCTTCCACACCGCACCCCATCCCCAGGAACCGAGCGCTGGGACAACTGGGATGGGGGCAACGATGCCACATCCAAGGTGCCCCCGTCCCAGGCGGCACACCGAGCGCCCACCCTCCACTGCTCCATCCAGCCCTCCTGGAGCTGGCACTGCCACACGAGGCCAAAGCCACCGCCACGCGCAGGAGGGATGAGCATCACCGCTCCCACCCCCCAACATCCCCACGCTGCTCCAGAGGAGACCGAGCAGAAGTCTTCTGCTCCAGCCCCTGGCCCGGCCACGTCCTCAGCATCTCCTGGCAGCCGAGCATCTCCCATGGCTGAGCCCTGGCAGACAGAGTGGCCCTTGGCCTCCGCTGCCCGGGCATGGCCCCGATGGAGGAATGGCAGATGGGGCAGCCCTGAGCCCCACAGAAACCCTCTGCCCATCTCGTGGGCCA